TCCTAGGCCCCTCTGAATCTCTCCTCCTTACCAGCCAGTGAGGAAAAGGGTGTGTGTGAAAAGATGCAGCATCTGGGATCTCTGTGAGGAGCTGCTGAATGATCGTGCCCAATGGAGCCAGATTGATATTATCTTTCCTGGATTTAACACCTAGAAATCTGCTGGTCTGAATCACCCAAAAGAACTGTGGGGTGGGGGCTGCTTAGGGACACTTTAAAACATCGATTTGTAAGGGAATCCTTCAGATCTTGTCTATCATGCCTGCTACAGTATCAATTTCTCTTAATAAAGGTTCCTGTTAGAAGAGACTGTTTCCAAGAGTTCTTCTTTCTTAAGATGTGGATTGAAGTGGTTCCTTACATTAGACAGGATCTGCAGTAATAGTCAACCTGGAAGGGAGAAACATGCCGGGGGACTTTGCAAAAAATACAATGTCAGACAATGAGGCAGGAAAGGGAGAAAACCCCATGGAGAGGGAGCCTTCCCCCCGACCGAAAACCTGCCAGCTGTCGGGTTCTAAAATGTCATACTCCTCAGGAAAAGAGATGGTGGAGACATATAACCACAAACCTCGGTGGTCAATGGGCGTTGGAAAGAAAGGCGAGTGAGAAAAGAGATTGAGAAAGGTGACCCTGAGACGGGGCAGTCACCAACCATAAGAGCCGAGGTGGCGCAGCAGTTAGAGTGCAGTACTGCAGGCCATTTTAGCTGACTGTGTTCAGCAGGTCAGCGGTTCAAATCTCACTGGCTCAAGGTTGACTCCGCCTTCCATCCTTCCGAGGTAGGTAAAATGAGGACCCAGATTGCTGGGGGCAATGTAAATATATATATACATTGCTTACTGGTGTACACTGCTTAGAGCAGTGATTCTCAACCTTTTTAATGCCGTGACCCCATAATACAGTTCCCCATGTTGTGGTGACCCCCAAGTGGGTGTAGCCACCAGTAAGAGGGAGTAGGACAGCTAGGGAAAAGGGAAAAAATGGCGAACAGCATGGTTTGGCGACCCCCGTGAAATGGTCATTTGACCCCAAATGGGGTCCCGACCCACAGGTTGAGAACCACTGGCTTAGAGAGTGCTTGCACTTAAAGCGGTATATAAGTCTCATAAATAAATAAATAAATAAACCAGAATGGAAGCATGAGATGGAGGAATCCCTGCACGTTAGCGAAGAGGAAGAAAGTTGTGCACAGCACTCGAACTGGATCCTAGAGAAAGCTATTGACCTGATGAAAAGAACCCTCGACTCTCTAGGGGAGGAGAATTCTGAGCCCCGTGGCCATAGCAACACCCGGAGCTGCAGCTGGAGAGACACTGAGGGGAATTGGAACCTGTAGCCCTGGGGACATCCGCTGATCCAGTAGCGACCATTTCAGCAGCCCCCACTCCACGCCGACCTGCAGATGGCGATCAGGATGGAAGAGAATGCCACCGATGGCGAAGGCACCAATCAGGTGCCTTCAAAGACTCCTGTCACTGAACATGAAATTCAAGGGGGAGCCGATGCACTTGGGTTTTTTTCCTAACCCAAGTCCTTAGCTACATGGAAGAATAAGGCCAGCACATCCCTAGCAACAAAGCCCGTATCATGCAATCCGTTTTGGATGGACCAGCCACAGATTGGTTAGTGAACTTGCATGATTCCGATACCCTAGAGCTCAATGACTTCAACCGTTTCATGTCATCTCTGAGAAGGTGATTTGAGGACCCCCTGGGTGATCTCAAAGCCCGTGAAAGAATCAAAATGGTGAGGCAAGGCAGACATCTGGTAGCCGAATATACGTAAGAATTCCGGGCCATTGCCAGCAAACTGAACTGGCCAGAAGACATCCACCTTAGCCATTTCAAAGACAGCCTAGTCCCCAGCCAAGCCAAAAGAACCCGCCATGAGAGCGATAGAGGCTGTGGAGCCCCCAACCTCTGCCCAACATGGGGAGGGAACTCCAGCCTACGCTGCAGGTCTGGTGGAAACTCAGACGACAGCTCAGAGGGCGAACCCCTGGTAAGTGGACCCATCACACCTCTCCTCAAGATAGTGACTATATTAGCTCCCTCCATGCCCAAAGCTGTCAAAGTGAAAGCATTAATAGACTCTGGGTGCACCCACTGCCTCATTAGCCCGACACTGTTGGGGAATTTGGGCATTCTGGTAAGGAGGCTAAAACAACCAATCTCATTTGGCCAGTTAGATGGGTCCATAGCAGGGGAGGTGCCAACTACCCTAGCCACTTTACCAGTCCACCTATCCCTGGGAAACCATGAGGAAACATAACGTTTGTAGTGACCCCAGGCATAGAATGCCCAGTGATTCTAGGGCTGGAATGGTTAAATAAATGGAACCCCTGGGTAAATTGGAGGATGGCAGAAATCAATTTCCCGAAGGGGGATCCTATGGACTTAAAACCCCAAGGAGTCCTACAAAAATTAAGAACGGAGAAAGAATCAATGGGAGAAGAAAACGGGCTACCTGAAATACCAGAGGAATACCGAGACCTTGCTGAAGATTTCAGTGAGGAGAGGGCAGATGAGCTTTCCCCCACTGACCCATGGATTGTGCCATAGAATTCAAGCCCGGGGCAAAACTCCCGAAGCCCAGACTATACTCTATGATCCCTAAGGAGAAGGAGGAAATGGAAAGATTCATAAATAAAAACCTAGAAAGGGGTTTCATCGAACCTGCCAAGTCTAAAGTAGCCGCCCCGGTCCTCTTTAGAGAAGGACAGCATTTTATGCTTGTGAGTAGACTACCACCTATTGAATGCAATCAGTGAAAGCAACCTATGCCCCTACTCCTCATGAAGGACATGTTATCCCACCTCTCAAAAGGAAGAATTTTCACTAAATTAGATCTAAGGGAAGCATATTACCGCGTAAGAATTAAGGAAGGGGATGAATGGAAAACCACATTTAACTTTCCAGTGGGGTGGTACCAATTCAAAGTTTAGCCATTTGGATTACAAGGGGCCCCTGCAGTATTTATGCAATTGATCAACGAGCTACTAAGGGAGCACCTATTTAAGGGGGTCCTGGTTTACTTAGGCGACATCCTTATCTTCACCGAATCAAAAGAGGAACATGTCAACCTAGTCAGAGCGGTTTTAAAGAAAGTGTGAGCCGCCCACCTATATGCCAAATTATCGAAATGCGAATTCCATCATGAAAGAATAGACTATCTGGGTTATTGCATATCCCCACAGGGCATTGAAATGGACCCTGAAAAGGTCAGAGCAGTATTAGAATGGGCACCTCACACAAGGAAGCAGCTACAAAGTTTCCTGGGTTTCGCAAATTTTTACCGCCAATTCATTCCCTCATTTGCTCAGATAGCCCTGCCCCTCACAAACGTACTAAAAACGAAGGGAGAATCCTCAGTGAAATCTAGCCAGCCCCTAAAATGGACAATGGAATGCCAAGCGGCATTTGAGAGATTAAAGATACTCTTTTCTCCTGAACCCGTAATGAGGTATCCAGACATGGATGAACCCTTCATAATACAGGCAGATGCAAGTGATGTGGCAGTGGGGGCTGTACTGTTACAAGAAAATGATGAAGGGGTATTGCAACCATGCGCATATACGTCCAAGAAACTCACCGAAATGGAACAGCGCTGGCCCATGTGGGAGCAAGAGGCATACGGGATACATTGGTCATTACTTACGTGGCGCCAGTTCCTTGAAGGGAATAAAATCCCTTTTCAGGTGTGGACAGACCACAAAAACCTGGAAGCCTTGAAAACCTGGAACCTCAACCCCAAGCAAGCCTGCTGGTCCCAGCATTTTCACCAAGTCCACCTTACGCTCAAGCACTTGCTGGGGGGGGGAGAACTTCTTGGCAGATGCACTGTCTCGCATGCCCCAATATAACAGCATGCGAGCCACCAATTCTAAACCACTTATGGCAGAATCACAACTGGGAGCGCCAGTAACTATGAGAACCCAAGCTAAATTAAAACCGCAGCTGGATAGCCAAACCAGAATTGAATTCCGGAAAACTTTGGAAAAAGATAAATGGTTCCAGAAAAATAGACATGTGTGCATAATCAAAGATGGACTGGACTGCCTTGGGTGGGGGAAAGTTATATATACTAACCACCCATAGGGTCACATTAATGCAGCTTTGCCATGACACAAAATCAGCAGGGCATTTTGGATTTGTAAAAACATTACACTTAATTAAAAGGCAATTTTGGTGGTCATCCATGAAAAAGGACATAGAAAGTTACGTGGCCAGCTGCCCAACGTGCGCAACTGCAGAGAGATTGCAAGGGAAATCACCCGGACTATTACAACCAGTGGTGAATCCTTCAGCCCCCTGGAGGGAAATAGCCATGGATTTTATAGTGGAACTACCAGAAAGCAATGGAAACACTGTCATCTGGACGGTTACGGACTTGTTTTCCAAACAGGTGCACTTTATCCCTTGCCAAAAGATCCCCACCACAAAAGCCTTGGTGAAACTTTTCGTGCAGCACATTTACCGATTGCATGGGGCAATCCAATGCACCATATCTGATAGGGGAGTGCATATCTGATACGTCAGCATTTTGGAATGAATTTTTATCCCTCTTAGGAACCACTCAGAGACTATCATCTAGTCATCATCTTCAGGGAGCGGTCAATCAGAATCATCAACCCAAAAACAGTAGAATTAGAAGTGCCCAAAAATCTCAGGCAAATACACCCAATTTTTCACTGCAGTTTGCTGAAAAGAGAACAACAGGCAGACTCACTTTTATACCTGTTTTGTTTTCTCTACAAGTGGATCTCTCTTATTTTTAAGGGGGCAGGACGTCAGAATCCAGTTATTTTTTCTTTCTACCTTCTCTGATATAAAACCAATTTTTACTCTCTCCTGGATCCTGTCATACTCCTAAGGGGGAAGGGGGTATGCATGGGGGTTTATTACTTTCACTTCCTCTATTCACTACAAAGTAACCTTTTGTTGATTCTCTTTCGGGTCTGCTAACCATCACAATGTAACCATTTGCCTTTCATCCTAGGCCCCTCTGAACCTCTCCTCCTTACCAGCCAGTGAGGAAAAGGGGGGGGGGAGATGCAGCCTCCAGGATCTGTGTGAGGAGCTGTTGAATGATCATGTCCAATGAAGCCAAATTTATGTTATCTTTCCTGGATTTAACACCTAGAAATCTGCCGGTCTGAATCGCCTGGAAGAACTGCGGGGTGGGGACTACTTAGGGACACTTTAAAACATCGATTTGTAAGGGAATCCTTCAGATCCTGTCTATCATGCCTGCTATCAATTTCTCTTAATAAAAGTTCCTGTTGGAAAAGACTGTTTCCAAGAGTTCTGCTTTCTTAAGATGTGGATTGAAGTGATTCCTTACAGTAATTATCTGTATAGCTGAATGCTGTTCTGCCTGTCCCAGAGAGGTCTGCGCTCACCTTAAAGGAGCAGGTTTGCAGTTTGGGAATGCTCCTACAATATATCCATCCTTGTTACTATAAATCCAAGTAACAAGATGTTATTCACAACTGTGATTATACCTTACAAGGTAGACCAAGAAGCAGATGCCATATTGAATACAATGACAGAATCTTGCAGGCCTAATAAGCTTTTCTCTCTTTTTCTTCATGTGAATGACTGTTTGAATATTTTCAGACCCATAACCCGTTTTTTTTTTGTAATGTTTACCTATTTATTGCCTAATAACAGATTTTCCCTCTCTCCATCAAGATCATTGTCTTTACTCTCTACACTTGGACAGAGACACCCTTGCAGCAGTTTATTTATGTTGCAATAATTTCCTAGTCAGTTTATTGCAATATACTGTATGTGGGGCAACCTTTGAAAATGGTGTGGAAACTTCAGTTAATTCAAAACAGAGGCAGCTAGACTGCTCACTGGAACTGACATATACCAATATATTATGCCAGTACTTTGCCATCTTTCCACCCATTGGGTGCAAGTCAGTTTCTGTATCGAATTCAAAGTGCTAGTTTAATAAATCTAATATTTCTCAAGAATATCTTAAAACAGAGAGTGATAATTGATTTTAATTTGCTATGACTCAATATTTTTTTCAAGAATACTAAACACAATTATAGAACCACTATTTCCTGACTTATGATCTATCTAAAATGAAAATCTTATAGGATGAATATTTTTGATAACCCTTTCACAGTCGAAGAAACAACCTGTATGTACCAACCTTCTGCTTTGATGATTATCACATTTTGCTCCAGATCAATTAAAGGTTGTATAAGACAAAGTCGTGGTTCCTGTTTCTGAGTAATACAAACTCCGTTCTGATTTGTAACCATCCAGTTTCGGTCATACAGCAAGCCTTGATTTCCAATGGGCCACTGCATAACCTGAAGAATGTAAAGGAAAATGGAGGTGTTATTTAGTCAACAGACAGTAAGTAATATTTTTTAAAAATTGATATGTATGTGTATTTGTTTTCAGCTCATTACAACAGTAAGGTATGTATATTGTCTTATGTACATGGCACACTTTAAGGCAGTTTAACTTCTTTCGCAGTTTCAGGCTTCTTTCTGGGTGAATAATCAAATTTCAATCTCCTGCCATTTAGAGATAGGAAACAAGAAAACTATATAGTAAATTTAAAAGACTTACTAAATCATTTAAATCCAAAAAAAAAAAGGGTTTGGTTTGTTTTTTTTAAAAAAGTATTTATACTCCAAAGTCATTGACTAGTCCAGTGGTTCTCAACCTTTTTAATGCCGTGACCCCCAACCGATCGTAAGTTGAGGACTACTCAACCGGTTGTAAGTCAAGGACTACTCAACTGGTGCAGCACCATTTGCAGAATGGGACTTTTGGCGGGCTCAGCAGGGCAGAAACAGCCTGGACAATTCCTATTAACTTTTGAAAGCCAATAGAATTAGACTCTATTCAAGAGAGTCTATTCTATTGGCTTTCAAAAGCCAATAGAATAAAAGGGAGTAGCACAGCTAAGGAAAAGGAGAAAAAAATGACGGACTGCGTTGTTTGGCGACCCCCGTGAAATGGTCGTTCAACCCCAAATGGGGTCCCAACCCACAGGTTGAGAACCACTGGACTAGTCTATATATTCATGCTATAATCTCACCAACTTCATGTCATTATCCTACATTCTTCAATTCAGTCTAAAGTTCTTGGAAGATACTATTAAGCTAGGTTGATGGCCAATAAGAAGTTTCATTCTAGTGCTTTAGCAATCTAAAACAAGTTCTGGTTTAATTTTGAAGTAGTTATCCCTTATTGGAATATATAAAAAATGAAATAGAGTTCCTTTTTGTTTTTTTTCTTCACAGAAAAGAACCAAAATAATCCTATATTGAATGTTAAAAATATTAACCAAAAGGAAAAAAGCAATGTGGAGTATTTCAGATATATGGACCTCAGTTTTTAACAGTCCTAGCAGCAAGGTGAATAGTAAGAGTTGTATATGGAAAGCAACAGTTACCTGTTCCTAAACTATTTGCTTTATTTCTTTCTGCTGGCCTTCTGCTTACTGTAATGCATTCCTAATGGTATCATTTTTTTAAAAAAAAGTTGAATAAAGAAGTCATAGACTATTCATACATTTCAGGGAGAGAAAAAAGCAAGTTTTCTAATGCTATAAGTCAATTGTGAGGCAATGGTAAGATTCCAATGTGATAAACACAAGTTAGACCGGGATATTTTGAACTCTTTGTAAAAATCAATATCTTAATATAATTTTAATTATATTTGAGTTATTTACTTCAATGTATATGTTAACATAATTTTGAAAAGAAATTTTCTCTTGGTCTAATTTCTCTTGGCCTAATTTAAATAATCATGCAAGTTGCAGAAATTGCATTTTAAACAAAAACTTACATATTTTGTTACCTATTACATCACCTTCATGTAAATAGTCCTACACTCTGGAATCCATACATAATTAGAAAAATGATTCTGGCAAAATTATTGCCAAAAGAAGGCAATTTCTATACTGAATGTGTTGTTTTTTTTAATTGGCAGCAAAAAGCTTAATTTCAGATTATCATTTATTATCAATTGGAAAAGCATATTTCAGTGTTTCTGTAAGTCTTCTGTAAGTCTTCTATATTGTTCAATGTATATTCAACACATTGCAATCATTTTTGATGTTATTTTGTTCATTTTAGTTGCTAAATCAGTCCTTGACCCATTAATGTTTGGGTGTTGTGAAATTAATAGATGAGCAAAAGACACAAGAGTATGACACAAAGAATCTTTTATTAAATTATTTGATAATTGTATACTATTGCACATAACAAGGGTTTCAGTTGCCTATTTGCTGACAATTCTGGCAATGCATTTATCTGTCATATTTCTTCAGTTTCAGTGGAGGACCATGTCCTGAAAGGAGTCGTTCATAAAACATATCTCTGGACTTTCCACAAGCCATTAATACACTTTGTTTTAAAAATAAAAAAAACAATAAAACTTGTCTTAAAAAAAAATAAACTTCCAAATGGTTGGATGGCATACTCCCAATTGGGCAAGCAGTCACCAATGAACAGCTTTGAGTACCGTATATGCCGGCGTATAAGGCGACTTCCGCAAGCATTAAAATCTGCGCCAAAGACGGGGGTCGTCTTATACACCGAGTCATCTTATACGCAGGAAATACTGGTAGTTTCCAGCGTATAAGAAGACGTTCTAGGAATGCAACTCGGCGCCAAAGACGGGGGTCGTCTTATATGCCGGGTCGCCTAATACGCCGGCATATACGGTAGTTGTTCTGGGCTCCAGTCAAACAGATTCCACATGGTGTTGGAAATGAATGTAGTTATCTTCCATGTCCTCTCCTGCCTTGATGACCTATGTAATTGTCCTTGAATCAGTTCAGACGAGGTTACAGCTCCCCTGGCAGAAATTCTTCTAGAGCAGGAACATATTCTTCCAAGTCCAACCAGTGTTGCTATTGAATTCATGAGCAGCTTCACTTGTTACCAAATGCTTCCTCATACTCTGAGTGAAGTGGAAGAAACCACCTTTTAGAGCTACTTCTGGGAAGCACTCTCTGATGGCATTCATGGCAGCCATTTCAAAATAGCAGTAAATGGAATGTGGCTCGATATTAGTCACCAGGATTTTCATAAAGCCAAAGAGCCATTTATAAGTAGCACACTGTTTATCTGGCAGGCGTGCATAAAACAAGGTGCATGCCCCCATACTATTTTTGCTAGGATCACATGAACCTAAGCAAAGAGCTTGGGAACAATTGCAAAAGTGCTGTCCGTGTACCAGATTTCGGAGTATTGCAGAATGCACTGCTAATTACTTCTGCCAAATATTAGGATGCTCCTAGATCCTTCTCCAAAATTGCCAAGTAAGAATGGCTCTTTTCACCCAATGTTAGTGAATAGGGTCCAGGCTGACTGGGTCCAAAGGTGCTGTCTGTAATTGGTTTTGCCTCTACCAGAATTGTTTTGTTTTTTTTACAATACTGAAGTTCCAGGTATTATAGCATAGACTGCTCAGCTCACGTTAGCCAGGCAGGTATGAATAACTTGAGATGGCCCTTCCACTATCTCTTTGGCTTCACACCTCATCCGGTCATGAATCTTGCCACTTTCACATTCACTGCTGAAGGATAGTGGGAATCGATCTCTTTATTACTTTTCCATTTCTGGTGTGAATTTTGGCCTTGCATTGATCACACTACTCACAATTCCAAAATATAATGGTATAAGGACATGCCCCAGGTGATCCTCTCAAGAGAGCACAACTCTTGACTCTGTAGGGTTAATCAAAAGAACTTTTACTGAGAGGAAGTGGTTGCAGTAAAGAGTAGCAGAATCTAACAGTGCCACACAAAGCACAAAGCTATTCCTCCCATTCCAAAACCCAACCCCCCTGACCAGTCCACTGGCAGACAATACAATGCCGCAAGGTTGTTTTGAGAGTGCTGAGGTATAGGCTTGATAATGAGTATCCTTAGGGCACAGCAACCTTGGAATCAGACTGGAATCGGCTAAGAAAGAGTCCATCCCATCTTTGAAGACCATCCCCCTCCTAATTCCCATGTGGTTACAACAAAGTAAAAGCATGCAAAGAATACTCTCCCCAACCTGCAGAACAAAACATAATAAAGGGGGGGATTAGAGAAATTATTTAGGTTTGTCAGGATATTGATTACAAAAACGTTTCACTAGCCTAGAGGCTTTAACATGCCAATGATCCACCCACTCATTCTGGACAATAGGGAAATCTTTCCATGCTACTAAATACTGAAGATTTCCCCTATGCTTGTGAGAGTACAAAATCTCTCTGACCTCAAAATGTTGTTCCCCCTCTATTGCTATGGGTTGAGGGATAAGGGGAAGAACTGGTCTAAGGGGTGAGGAAATTTCAGGTGTCAATAAACTGCAATGAAAAACTGGTGAACAAGACAAAGGAACTTTGGCAAATCCAATTCTATTGTGACTGGGTTAATATGTTTGATGGGGAAAGGCCCCACAAACTTAGGTCCCAATTTCTTGGAAGGTAAATAGCGTGTGGAAAGGTAAATTAGGTCTCCAACACTGAAAGGCTTAGGCTCAATTCTTTTCTTGTCAGCTTGAGCTTTATATGTATCACAAGCTTCTGCAAGGGCCTTCTGTACAATAGGCCAGATATGTTATAGTTGGGTGACCCATTCTTTTAATGGTGGCATTGTAGAGTCATTTGCAGGGAGTTCAGGCATAGATTTGAAGTCCTGACAAGTGGCCACCCAGAAAGGGGTGAACCCCATGGTACTATGTACAGAATTATTGTATGCCACTTCTGCAAATGACAAAAGGTCATTCCAGTTATCTCATTGATAATTAATAAAACATCTAAGGTATTGTTCCAAAACTGTGTTCATATATTCACACACCCCATTCGTTTGGGGTGGTGACTGGAATTCAGTCCCTGGTCAGTATCAAGTAGGCCCCAAAAGGCCCTCCAAAACTTAGAAGTAAACTGCACTCCTCTGAGATGATGCATTGGGGTGCTCCATGAAGTTGATAGATGTGATGCAGGAACAATTTGGCAAGACCTCAGGCAGATGGAATCTTCTGGTATGTAATAAAATGCACCTGCTTGGAAAACAAATCAATCACCACCTAAATTACTGTATTTCCTCTCCAAAGTGCTGGCAACTTGGCTACCATCTGAAGTACACTCGACAATAAATAAGTGGGGTTTGGGTTGGAGTTTGGG